AAGTCTGTTTTTATATAAACAACAGCCCTAACCTGCAAAGCTGTACAAGAAGTTAAGCGCAGTCTACTTCTGTTATGTGATTCTATTAAAAGCAGTCCTGTAATACATTTATATGAATATATTGGGTCAAACAGAAAATTTGTTCTCAACTTTTTCCAAATAATATGTGCAGAAACCAAGACTTAAATTACCAAAATGGAAATTTGAGGCTTCAGAACAGAAGTCAACAAACCAATAAGTGATGTCACCGTAGCGACATCCAAGTCTCAGTGGTGCTCAGTTATGAAGAAAAGCCCAATTAAAATGCATGAGGAAAGGGAAAAAAAATCTGCCTTACCCTTTCATCATCCTGAGGATAAAAGAAAAAGAGAAAAACACACAAATTTTATATATTCAAACTTCCTGTGTGCAACTTTCATATATTTGAGAGATTAAAATGGCAAACAGCTCACCACAGAGTAGATTTCACAAGCAGTTTCTCTCTCGCTCTGGTGAGGATCACAGTACAGACGTAACTTCTGGATCTCCACCTGGACCAGCAGAACAGGAGAAACACTCAGAGAAAACCAGACTGAGCCAAATGACTGGACGGACAAACACAAAGCACTGCTTAATGGAAAAGACAAATAAAACTGATACATGGTTGGGCCTGTCACAATAACAAATGTTGCTGGACATTAAATAGTCCCAGAAATAAACAATAGCATTGTTGTTTTGAGATCATTTTCAAGTAATATATTGATAATTTTGTAATACTGTAAGTTCAGCCTCTCAGACACCAGGAAACTTACATTTTTTAAAGAAAACTTCTAAACTAAATATCCAGGATACAACACAACAACCAAAAATAATAAATAAAACAGGAATGAAAACCACACAAAACCCAAACCATAAATACAACGGATCATGAAGTCTCTGTAAGCTTTTTGTCAAGTTGGGCAAAATCAGTCAAAAGGATTATTGGTAGAAAATTGTGGGGCTTTTTTTAATTGCAAATCCAAAACTTGTAAAGGATTTTGCACATTTGCTGTATTAATAAAAAGGCATCTAGTTTTCAAATGTTTCTTGGGGCTCAATTGAAAACATTTATTCTCGGGCATAAAAACAGTATTTGTTAGTCACTTTGTTTCAAACTGTCAAGTATGAGATTTTTTTTTCACTAAAAACAATTTTGTTTTCAGTAAAAATCTTTGGTCAAATGTTGTTCTACTTACTATAAAAGTTTGGTTATAAAATAAGGAATACTGAATGTAGGAAAATGATGTCGGAAATAATTTGACCCTGATTACAAATAAAAACTCTCTGTCTTCTTGAAGCAGCTGTGCTGGACAGGTCAAATCACTTTTGATATAATTTTGAAGCAGGTGGGGTCTGCACAAAGTCCAACCAAGGACCAACAGGAAGGGCCCGCCTTCACTGGGGTTTAAAGTTAATAAGAATTTGTCGCATACCGGTACAGTGACCTGTGACCCCCGCTTCTTGGCAATCTGTGTCTTTCCATTGATGTAAATGGGCTCCACGGGCTTCAGCGTGATCTCTTGGATCAGTTCGTCGTCAAGGAAACTGACGACATGCTGAGGGCTCACCAGAATCTTCAGCTGATGCCATTTCCCATCATACAGCGTCTGTAAAAGAATAGGAGTCAGACCAGTACTGCCATTATTTCAAAATTATCCCTAATGGCACATTAAAGGTGTATAAACCGAGCAGCTGAAACGCAGCTTTGTGTGACCATCTGCTCATTAACAAAGTCAAATGTGGAAACACTTTGGTATGTGTTCATTTTTCTTTCACTCAGCCTTCCGTTGACCGTCCGTCTGTTGGCTGTCTTACATGTGTGCACATGGGTTTCATCTCATGTAATTTTGCTCACAAATCCACAAACATGTATTCCCAAAATGATCCGCAAATAGTGAGCCATTAGGGACGAAAAAGTTCTTCCTTTTTCCATCACAAACCATTTTTAAAACGCAGAGAGGAAGGAAGAAACAGAGTCTCTGTTGTTTAGCTTGGATCATAAGCCACCATTTCCACAGTGACTAATGACAGGCTTCCCCATTGTGTCTCACAAAAACAAAATTAGATCCAACATGAGCAAATACAAACAGTGCATAAGTGCCACCCTGTTCCTCACCTCACTTTGAGGTGTAGGAAAAATCAACCTCCAGTAGGCTTTTCCCAAACAGAGTCACGATCCAACTTCTGCACAGCCGCAGACCTCTTTCCACTGCGGAAGTGGTCCAGAAGATGAAACATTTTCTTTAAGCATCTTCCCGGCTGCTGTCACATCCCATCTTCACCGGTTCAACGGAGGGTTGAAAATAGCAGCGCACTGTGTGTAAATAACTGCTATTTTTACGTCTCTGGAAGTCGCAGCAGGGAGGTTCCTTTATAATAGGTACAAGGAAGGAAGATTGAACTTTGGAGAAACCGCTTTCTGACACAACATGTTTTTTTGGAGAGCAGAGCAGCACATTAGCTTCTGCAGAGCCATTTTAGACAAATACACCTTTCGTACTTTGTGAATTTGTCTCTTGTTCTACCTCTTGAGATTTAAAGGGGCAGTATTATGTGTTTTCCAGTCACACAGTGTAATTTTATAGCACAATCCAGTATATATGTTACCTTCACTTACAGAGCTTGGGATGCAGCTTATTCTTTGGTTAGAGAAAGGGTGCAACATAATCCTATGTAATCCTTTCAATATGTAACTGTAAGTGATGTTTTAATCTTTGTAACTGTCCACTTCCATATTTGTTATCACTTTGAGATCCTTGGGAACAGGGTAGGAGGTCGCCTGGGGATGAGGGTTGAGGGGTGAGGGGGTCACACTGCCTTTTCTATTTCTATGTTGTATCCCACCTAATGTAACTATACTGTAATGTACATGTTGTTGTGGATGTAAAACAACTAAAATAAAAACATTTGATCGCAAAAAATAATGGGATGTCACTTATGTTTGTATGTGCGAGGGAAAACAAACAAAATCTTTTGGCTGTATAGTACGTGGTGTTTCCCTCCCCCTGGGGAGCTTAAATTGCTGAGTCAGCGTATGCTGTTATGTTTGCTAAATCTATAAGCTCTGCAAGTTTTGGATCTGATAAAACTTCCAAGGTTTTGTCCAAGGGATGGTGTTTGACTCCCCAAACAAACTGAGCACAGCTGGAAGTGATTTTTCTGAAGATTTCAAACATCTGATGTTGTGCAGGCCGCTCTTAGACCTCTTTATTAGACTTGCTCATACATTTTCTCTTTAACAAATGTTGGAAGTCAGAAAGACAATCATCGGATTTCTGCATTAAAAGAATACTTAAACTGTTAGCGACCAAGTTAAACCCCCAGCAAGAATGGTACAATTTGGATGTATTTTTAGTATTTGAAGATAAAAACATTTTTTTTTAATCCTTGTGTTTACAAATGGGGTCCAACCAACCCCACACCTGTATCACTTGTATCATTTGCCTCAGTCCTTGCACGCACAAGGGTTAAATGAATGTATGTACTTTATATAAAACTCAAAATGATCATATTAATATTTTGTGGATATAAAAAATGTTCAAGTATTTGGAAGTGATGACGTTATGGGAACAATATGGAGTTATTGTTTTGGAGAAGAATTCAAATTATCATCCATCACTTCATACCTTATGTATCGAAACACCAACTAATGTTTTGTAATTTGCATTAGTAAAATTATTTTTTCTTAGAGAATAGAGCACCAAAACTGGCCCCTGCTCAGGGGCCCACATCCTTGTAAATCCAGCTCTGAAAAAGACAAATATTGCGTTTGAACAATGTTCAAAATAATGTAAATAACCATTTAGATTATTAATTCTGGATTGTCATCTGGTTAAATAAGTATTAAATGATTAAAAGATTATAAATATTAAAAGATCAAAAGCTCATTATTAAAGGTTCATGAGGTAATTTAGGCCTGAGGATAACAGTGAAAGGTTGGAATCCTAACATACAGCAATGGAGGGTTAGATGTGAACTAGATGTTGTGGATTTCATTAGAAAATATTTATTTCAGTCTTTAAAGACATGACTTGGACTTGGAAAAAATCAATTGTGAACATCTCCATATGAACCACCTGCTCAGACTATCGCTCTGTTAAATCAATTTATGGTATCTGCAACATCTGACCAAGTCGTTTAAATATAGATTACTAAATTGTTTTCAAAATCAATCAATCAATCAATCAAATTTTATTTGTATAGCACATTTCAGCAGCAAGTCTTTCAAAGTGCTTTACATAATTAAAATAAAAACAGCATGTGAGAGAGATTTAAAAAACATAATTAAAACATTAACAGTGAGAAAGAGAAATAAAAAGCTGTAGAACTTTAGTTGAGACGCTGTCAACTGGGACTCCAACCCTTTGGACTTTAGTCAAAACGCCGTTTGACAAGGACTCTAATTTCTCGGATTTTAGTCAAAACGCCGTTTGACAAGGACTCTAATCTCTCGGACTTTTTTTTTTTTAAAGATAAAAACATTAAAATCACCGAAACAGTGAGACAGAGGAAGACATTTTGAAAAAGATTTTTTTAAAAAAGATAAAAACATTAAAACTCCCACCCCTTTGAGGACCTCAGTTAAATGTCGTTTAACTATCGTTTAACTGGGGCTCTAACCCTCTGGGACTTTAGTCAAAAACACCGTTTGACAAGGACTCCAACCTATAGGTTAAATAACATTAATATCCATCCATTCTTCCTGACTTAATGCAAAGTGCTCATGTAATACTCTCTTTATACCAACCTTGAAGCCTTTTTTAAAGATGGCTTTTTGCTCTACTTCTGTCACACTGGTGGTGGTGAAGATGACAGACTGATCTTTTCCGTTGAGTGTCACTGCAGCCTGGATTTCCTTACTCTTGGACAAAACCCTCCAAAGGTCAAAGATCGACTGGCTAAAGTTCCCCTTCAGACGTACAGTGGCCACAAATACATATGAAGGCGGAAGACCTTCTGGGAAAATTTCTCTATGGAGAAATGGGTTAAAGATAATTAAATTGTTACATGATTGATTAAATAAAAAGGTGATTTAGACGCCTTGATACCTGGTGTTCTCGGTAATGTCTGTGGAGGAAGTGAGAGCATAGGCTGCCTCTGAAGCAAGGGAACCAGAAATCTTCTTGGCCTTCTTCTGAATGTTCATGCCCAACATCAGCTCAAAGCCCTTCTCATCACGAGAGGCCACTGGGATCCTTGTGGGGCAAACCGATTCTGAAGAGACAGGTTAATCATAAGTGGAACACATTGAAATAGTTACAACCAAAAGCATGTTGTCTTTTTGAAAGGCTAGCTAGTATGTGCTAGCTAGCCTTTCTACTCTTGTCTTAGCATGACAAGAGTAGAGTTCTCACCATTCCTACAATAATAACAGCTGAGAGTAGAATAAAAACATGCAACTTAAACTTGTCAAATTTGCTTCTTAGCATTGTGCTGAAGGGTATGGCTGTTCACCATGATAGAGTTTTATAGATTTGTTTTGCTTTAGCTTAGGGCTCAATAGAGCAAAATGTGAATTGGATTGCTAGTATCTGCTAGCTAGTTAGCATGACAAAACTAGAATTCTCACCATTTCTACAATAATAAATTATTTGTAACCAAGAATAGGGTAAAAATTGCCAAATGTATTTAAAAACACATGCAACTTGAACTTGTCAAATTAGCTTGTTTAACAAGCTAATTTGACAAGTGGGAGGCCCGCTGGGAGGCTATCCATCACTATGATAGAGTTTTATAGATTTGCTTTGGTTTAGTTTAGAGCTAAATAGACAAATTGAATAAATAGCATCATTACAACCTTATTCTCATAGTATTTTGACTTTACTGTTGTACAACTTTATTCTCGTAATTGAAATAAAAAGTGGCCTTGTGCATAGTTTCCTCATCTTGTTGGCATTAGACTTTGGGCTACATTTGTTACTAAATAATGTTGAATACTAAACAAGTTACATTTGGCTTCCAGTTATTTTTTTATATTTAATACAACCAATAGATGTTTGACAATTATATTTTAAGGTGGCAATAATATCAACATTATTGCCACCTACTGCCCTGAAAAGGGTATTACATTTTTTTATTCTGGATTATCATCTTGACAAAAGAGTGTTTCTTTAAGTAGAGGGAAAATATTAAAGAAATTAACACAAAGATTATACATGTTTACACTGAAGTTTTGATGCTGCTTGAAAAAATGCCCTTAACTCTTACAAATCTGAATATCAAAAAGACCAATAACATACCACTCATAAAGCAATGCACTTCAAATAACTTAATTTGCTGACCTTCACATAGTTTCTGCTCCATTGAGTCTCGAATCCGGTCGATGTTGGTGTAATCTTGGGCATACAGGACATATGTAGATGACGGCTTATTGGCAATAGAAATCAGTTCTGAGGTGGTGATCTCACTGCCAACTCCCACTGCAAACACCGTAATACCCTGAGCTCGAGCCTCCATGCTTGCATCCACCTAAGGGAGAAAATGTAAAAACGATGAAGATAACCACTTCAGATAATTTTCCAAGTCATTTAATATGTCCATATAGGACTGCATTTACCACATCATCCTGAGATTTTCCATCTGTGACAACCACCGCTATACGGTTCTTGACCTGGCTGACCCGCTGGGAGGCAGAGAACACATGGTCCACTGCAAACTTGATAGCCCTGCCAGTCTGCAGAAACAATCAGAAAATACTGTTAAAGCAACTTAGTTTACCAATAAAATGCAAAAAACAAAAAAAAAAGATCAGAAATGTGTTTACGATCCAGTTCCGCCTGAACTTTTTCATTAAACCTTTACTGTACAACCAATTTATATTCCTAAAATACTAACATTTTATGTAATACAGTAAGAAAAAGTGGCACATAAAGTTGATATGGCATTGAGATAATTTGTGGTTTTCAGTTTTTTGTGTATAAAAAAATATTAAATGTGTGGCATGCTTTTAATTCTGATACCCATACATTAAAAGAATAGTGTCATTATCTGTAAAAAGTCACCTTATTAGTGATCTGGTTCCATCTGTGTGTAATTTAAATTCAGCTTAACAGTTTATTTATATAGCACCAATTCACAACAAAAGGCACTTTGCAGAAAAATAATTTCCAATTGATCCTACTAATCAAACAATACAGTATTCCCAATTCATTATCGTTATTGACTGTATTCATTACAAACTGTATACAAATGCACACCGTGCTGTAAGGTGTTTATATCTCAAACACTGTAAAAACTTATGTACTACCTTGAGTTGGTTTGTCACACAAAACTCCCAAAATTTGTGGTTGACTGTAAAATTTAATCTAGGGGTGTGTTTTCTGTGTCTGTTTCACTAATCTGTCAGCAGATAGAACAATATCAACTTACTGAGCTCAAAATCATATTTGTCCATTTATAGGATGTTTATTAAAATTATAAAACCCTTTCTACTTTTCTGTTTGTTTTTTGGTTTACTTAGGGACACTGCGGCATAAACTCCCATCTGAATGGAACATTTGCTTCCACAACCAGCCCAAGTCTTTAACTTTAGATTTAGGACTTAAAAGTAGGAAAGACGGCAAGGAAAAAAAGATTTTATATTGTTCTAAGTGAGAATACCAAACTGTCCAGGGTGTACCCTGCATCTCGCCCAGTGAGCGCTGGAAACAGGCAGCAGTCACCCTTTGACCCCTGCGTGGATGGACAGTAATATCAAGTAATATCCTTCACTTTCACATCCATTGAAATCAGGATGAAATGTGTTCACTGCCTTCTGTCTCTGAAACCTTGCAGGGCTCATTTGTTGCACAGCTCTTCATTTGTTTCTTCTTCCTTCAGCTCATTTCATGTGAATGATTTCAGCTTCAAACCCTTTGATTTAATATCCCATCTGATGTCCTGTCATGGCTTTGTTGATTCTGTTTTATTTTGTATAATCTTAATTTGTCTACTTCAGTGGAAATTTTGTGTTTTGATGTCTGTCTCCTGGCACAAAGTGCCTATAACACAATGTGATTTGTTTTGACAACAGAAGAAACGGATCAAATAAATGAGCAGCATTTTCTGGTATTAGAAAGTCAATATATTTTTGTACTGTCTAGTTTCTTTTCTTCATTGTAATTGTGCCACTGTTAAAGAGGGCTTTCAGAAAAATTCTTTATGGCAGTAACACAGTGTCAAACCCAGCCTCTAAATTTTGGGCATTTATTCCATTACACATTTGCAAATAATTGTTGAGTTTTTTTTGTTGTTGTTTTTTTTTAATCACTTGTGCTACAATTATTGACTGCCATGGCATTCATAATTTACCAATTTCATATTGTTGCAGCACACACAGAGATAGGGGTCTTTAACTATTCCACCTTGTACAATCTCTCAAATCCTTTAGGGATGTTTGCTAAAATCCATAGAAGAAGGTAGAGAGTTTTGCTCAGCCCGTTTTGTGTTGATTTAGCCAAATGATTTGGATAATTACTTCGCAGAAGTAGCCAATGATGACAAATTTTCTGTTGGTGGCCTAAGCCATATAATCTTTATTTAAATTGTCCTGCTGTTTTTGCTCTATTCTAGTCAGGTTCTCAGTATTGTTTAGAGAGTGGGTGGGGTTCGATTAGCATATATACTTACAATGAAAAACTTTTTTGTTAAAGGGGCAATATTATGTATATTCTAGACACTTAGTGTCATTTTATCACATATAAAAATACTACAGATATCAAGTATGATACATATGAGAAGATATTTGACTTAAAATCGGACCTCTGTCTCTTCAAGAAACTCTGCCTCCAGAAAGTCATTTGGAATTTCTGAGATATGTTGGAAGTAGTTCATAGAATAAAATGAACAATGATCATATTACTCAAACATATACCTATTAAAAGTAAACTCAGACAAACTGATAATTTTAAGTGGTCTCTTCCAGAGCTGTACATATTAAATAAGACTTAAAAGAAATTTGACTCCATAATTTAATGCTTTGAAATAGGGTCTCTGTCTCTTTAAGAAACTCTGCTTTCAGGAAGTCATCACAACATGACTCCTCTATTAAAACTTTACAATTTACAATGTTTTTACCAGTGTCGCTCTGAGAAGTAGCTCATGTAGTGAGCTCTACAAATGTGTAGTTCCACCAAGTGTTTGCTAATTGCTGCTGGCTAGTCTGAAGGAGTTGAGTGGGCAACTCGCTGACAGTGTAGTGAGAACATAATACCAATGGTAACGCATTCAACTTTGCTAGAACCAAACTAAACATTGACTAACTAGAGTGAGACTTCACAATGGAGAAGGGGCTTTAGTGCATGCTTTGAAGTTTTTTTTTTTACTTTATAATCTCCATAGCTTTAGTCCTCAGATGTCCTTATTTGTTGCAGTTCGAGTTCCTTTAAACTGTAGACGCCAGATTTAGGTATTAACTATTTTCTGTAGCCATTTATGGTGTGTGTGAAGATTCTTGTACAGCTGCCTTACTTGAAAGCCATGTTCCCTTGTTTTTCACATTTTAGAGAATGACGTAGAGAAAGTTCACCTTTTCCCAAACTGCATCAATAAGCTCAAATCAAAGGTTTAATTTTAATTGTTTTTCAATATGAAATTCTTCGACCACAATAAAAGATTGGTATATTTTAAAGCTGTGTATACATCTTTACCAGGGGTGCCAATGGGATTGGATGGTGCTATAAGTCAGGACACACTTTGCGGTAAAAGACACGCCCCTGCTGTTTTACCTGCGTATTCCCTCCCAGGTAGTTGATGTTTTGTATGGCCTGGATGAGCTGAACTCCACTATGGTGCATCCCCAGCGGTATTTCCAGTCGGGGTGTGTCACTGTACTGGACCACGGCCACCTACAGCAGAAACACGTGGAGTTGGGTAGAAGCATCATAAACCATGATTTGTCTTTGTAAATTCTCATAGTAGTCGAATTATACGGTTTCCACTGGTTGATGTTAAGAATATGACACTTAGGATTCCAGACACCAACGTGAAAAGTGTTTCCACTTTTCATGTTGGTGTTACCTGCGTATAATGAAGGCTGATGTCAAACTGGCTGCTGATGTTGATGAGCCATAGCTTGGCGGTTTCAAAGTCATCCGGCCCGACACTCCAAGAACCATCAACAATGTACACCAGGTCATTTACAGCTGTGCTGCACCCTGGGCACACATAGAAATACATGCAAAAGAACTTCTGAATCAATTCAAAACTTCCTCCATGTCATACTACTTTAGTAGTCCAGTGTGTCTATTTCTTGAACAGTACAGTGTAACAACTTCATCCGTACCGGCTCGGACATCTTCTTTCTCCACAGCTTCTGCTGCTAGCAGAAGCAACATCACACTCCATACTGACCACAGCAACATGTTTCTGTGGAGAGGAGTTTGTCTTCTGCTCAATCACAACCTGTTGTAAACACAGATAAAAAGGCATTTTAGCAACACTTTGGTAGAGCACAAATTGACATGCACTTTGAAGTTCATTGATGTAAGTTTTGTTACATCCTAAATGCTCAAGGGTAGCTGTATTATTTCCCTTGTAAAATGTTTCGCCTGTCGTCCAAAAGGGTTCTTCAGTTCTGAACATGGTTGAAAGTAACAGGCTTACAAATCGTAGTCTGAACAACCACATCATGAGGGACATTAGGGTCATTAAAGGTCCAATTCAGACATATGAGTCACTGGCTGTAGCCTCTGTTCAGCTTAGTGTTGGAGTTGTTGCTGCTTAATGATTCCAACATGTCCCAAATGATACCATGTTAGTTATTTTGGTCACATGTCCCAAGGTGCGGACTGCTGAAGAACCCTCTTAGGGAGATGAGTTGAGGCTGCAGAGTAGGTGTTAGAAAAATGAAATCCCAGTTGTTTAATGTTGGTTTTTCATAGCTAACACAGATGGTCCCTTTCACAAACATGGAGAAACAACATTTGGCTTTTAGGCACAAACTTAGGAACAAACTTCCAGAAAACTGCAAAACACTTTTCACTGAGTTCCCTTAAATCAAGACTAAAACTCACCTGGTCAGAGTTATTTTTGAACCATAATAAATGGAACATATTCGATGTGTACTGACAATTCTAACGATGGCACTCGACAAAATGTCATGTCTGTTACTGGTTTCACATTTGATGACTGTATGAAGTGTTTATGATGTTTTTAGGTTTTTAACGTGTAAAACACTTTGAACTGCCTTGTTGCTGAAATCTGCTATACAAATAATATTGATTGACTGCTGACTGTTGACCCGATGTTTTTGTTGATCTTTCTTGAGTCATCCACTTCTGTTTAGTTTGTCCAATGGAGAGGTCTGAGCTGGACTGAATGTACCTTTCCATTGAGCTTGTGTTGAGGTGTTTCATCCTTGGGATGAACCAGTTTCTGTCTGAGACAGTTGGGTTTCTTGACCGAGCTAATGGAATAAGTGAGTAAGAGAGAACAAGCTGAGGAAGAGCCTGCAACAGAAGCATAATGAAGCTGAAAATATGTCCATAAATACCCATAAATCACAGAAATAAATTATTGGACCTTTCTATTCTTTCCCCTCTCTGAAGTCAAAGTAGGTTATTGTTGACAGGATCTGAGATGAAGTCAGTATTAGAATAAACATGAAAAGACGCCTTCTTGCCTTCCCAGGCATTATATTCATAAAGTGTCATATAAAACTGCCTTTGAATATATGCTTTTCACATAAAAAAAATACAACAAACTAGAAATATATCTGTTTTCATTTTGACGCTTGTTGACAAACTTTGCACCTGCAGCGGCACCTGTGCTCTTCTCCCATGGCAACTGCACAAGAAGAAATGTGGGTTTCGCAGTCTGTCTGCAGAGGTTCCAGAAGAGGCTGAATGAGGCTCTTTGTGTATTTGACAGATAATGTTTGTGGACACAGATCAGTGCCCTCATAACCAAACTCTGCTGTAATCATGAGTTAACACACACTATAAAATATCTGGCCTGAGAATCCAGACTGCCTTGTGAAATGGTCAGTCTTTTCTTCCTTGCCGTCCCCTTTATTAAACTGCTTCCGTGACTTTTCGTCCTGTTCCATCTGGTGCGCACACAGCGCAGCAGAGCGTTTACTGCTCGGCTCTTTCCATGTTCATTTCTTCAGAGCACACATGGTTCCGCCGACCGCAAAGCACCGGCCAGAGCAAACAACATTGCGGGTGTCACGCTGAACAGGGAAGGCACAAACACAAATAAGGCCGCGAGGGCTGCAGGGAACCCAACGCCAACGAGCTGACGAGAGTTGGAACCTCGTAATCCCTGTTCTATATCCGCCCTGCGATGTGCTGCTAAAGAAAAACGCACATTGCGTCAAGACACGTATGAGATTTTTTTACGAGCTGAAAAAAAAAACAAAGTTTGACGCTGTTATGTTCTTTTATGAAGGACACTGGATCTAAAACAGTATGTTCCCCTCCCTGTAAAAATGAGGAAAAATGGAAATCATTTGATTTCAATCTTTTTCACTCTCATGCACAAACCAACTTGGGGAAAAAAAGAAAAGAATTTGATGGTAACTAGTAAAACTGTGGAATTCTCTCTTACTGTTTTTACTTTGCCGATTCCATTGATTATTTTTTTAAAAGAAACTAAAAATCTACTTCATCTTATGTTTGATGAGCATTTCCTTTGTGTTTTGTGAAGCAATTTCTAATTTTACTTGTTAAATGTGATATATCAGTAAAATTTTACTTACTAAAGAATATGCTGGAAGGAAACATCAAATAATTTAAAAGTGCAAGAACTTGGTTCATGCAAACAGTTTTCATTCAGTTTTAGAGCCCAGTGTTTATTGTGGCTTGGCAATATTTACTCTGCCTTGCAAATCTTTTTTAAAATTTATCGGATTATGTGGACATTCCCACATATTTTCTGACTTCTCCTTTAAAGTTATTCTCTTGTTGACTTTTTAAAGCAAATTCTGACTTATCATAAACCTAGAAAATAGAAACCTTTCTTCCTCTTCAGATTTCTCATAGATACATAAATGGTTGAGCCGAAGTGACGGAATTGGTTCTCATGGTCGCAGTTGCGTGACAAAAATTGCACCCTTTTGTTCTCAGACTCGTGTCGTTCACCTCTTCTTATTCCTCTTTTTGCTCCTCTCTGAATGCAAACCTATTGTGTGACTGGACTGAATTCTGTGAGTGTGTTTGTTTATGTGGAGAACTCTGCTCAACTTCCAGAAGTCGGTTTTTCAGCCAACTTTGGTTCAACCATGATGGGTTCTTACAGGTGTGGGATCAAATGTGACGCTACTCCTTGAGCAAAAGCCTAATTTCCATCTGTTCAAAAATTACCCCTGAGCATGATGCCACCACCACCCTGTTTTGAGGTGGCTGTGGTGTTATTCTAAGAGATCTTCAGTGTTGTTCTGGTGCCAAATAGGATTTTGTCCACAAGTCTCAGCCTTGTTTTCGTCAGACCACAACATATTGGCCCACAATGACTTGGATGTCTGAATAATTTCCTTGGAATTAAAGATTTTTGTTTTTTGATCTCACTCCTTATTCTACACATATAATACATGTAGGACCAGCAACCTCTTACTTGGCCTCTTCAGACCTATGTAAGCCAGCTTAAAATGTCACCTCTGTAATAATGTTATTATTATTTTAAAATAAAATCCTTATTTTACAGCAAATAAGGACACTCTGGTGCTCTAAAGAAAAGGGAAAAAACTAGAGAAACATTGAGCCTGTTTATGACATACTGATCTCTATTTAGAGCATCAAAAACTCCACACACACACACCCCTCACTCCAATATCCACCTTTCTGACTCCAGTGCGGTGCCTCAGACCTTCATTATTCATTAGGGGCGCATATGTGTGGCTAGGTGGCTTCTGAAACGGGATTCCTCTAAAACCCAACCTGACATCTGGAAAACCATGAAGTGCAGTGCGCTTACCACATCAGCTGCCTCTGCCGGCTCTGCAGGATCACACAGCATTCCTTATGTGCAGATGCTGCTGAGGTTGCCGTCCACCATTACGTAAAAAAAACTTAGACTAAAATTGGTTCTGGAAATGCTGTGTGCATTTACTGGCTTGTTAACTGTAAGGATTGCTAAAATGTACCTGTGCTTGTTTGTCGCAAAACTCAAGAGTTGGTTTCGCAAAAGTTCAACTTAAAAAACCCCCAGTAAAACAAGTAAAAGGATGGACAGGACAGACAATTGCACACACACACACAGACTTTGAGGTACATATAAGACAGGGCAAACCTATAAGAATCTCTGTTAGAGGAGGTAAAACACTCTGGAGTGAAGTAACTTGAAACATCTAGCCCAGGGGTCAACCTGTGGCTCCTGAGCCACAAACGACTCTTTTCACCATCCACAATGGCTCTAAGTAATATGGTTTTAAAAAATTAAGAATCATCTAATATTTTTAAAAATAGATATAATAACAACTGGTTTTAGATATTTTTTTGTCATGGAATAATTGCATTGACTGCGACAGACTGGCAATATATAAAACGCACAAAATGTTAAATGTATGCCTGATAAAAGACAAAGGGATGCAGTGCTTTGCTACACTATCACTAGATAAACAGGTCAGGAAAAAGGTAATTAAGAAAAAAATATGGAGGGAGAGGGAAGTAGTTGAGTTATGCTAGCTTGACTTTGACATCCTTAACATGTAGATGTGGTGTGGAATTCTGTTTTAATTCAGTTAGAAAAAAAAAGGCGAGTTAAACACCAACTCTGACAGATCATCAGTACAGCAGTTTAGTGTTTAATGAGCTAATAGCTGCAGTAGCTAATCTACAACATTGATCACTTATTAATAATCGCAAAATAAACATCAAGCCATAAAAGCATAAGACTGTCATGGACTGGATATTCAGATTTTTTTTTTTTTTTTGTGGGGAAATTATTATTATTATTATTATTATTATTATTATTATTATTAAAAACAATAGCAATAATAACAATATTAAATTGTAATAACTATGTTATTATGAATATTCATAAATATGAATATTTCCATAAATATTATTACAATAATAATAATTATTATTATTATTAAATAATAATTCAATTATATTATTAAATTATATAATTAAATTAATAAATAATCAATTATTAATTATTCGGCTCTTGGGACATTCCACGCCCCAAGAGCCGAAATGGGTTTTCTCCGTAGGTTGTCTGGGCTCTCCCTTAGAAATAGGGGGGCACTCAGAGTAGAGCCGCTGCTCCTTCATGTCAAGTGGAGCCAGTTGAGGTGGCTCAGGCATCGTTTCAGATATTTGAATGTTGCTTAAAATAATAAAATCCAACAATATATAAAAAAAAAACTACACACCATGTACAAGTTTAATATGTGGTCAAAGTGCAAAAAATAAATGCACTTTGACCACAAAACTCAGGACCCCGAGCTATTGCACCTCTAAGCTCTTTCTGAAGACTGGCCCAGGTTTCTACACAGTATTTATCTTTATTAACCAGGTATTTTGCATTAGCTTTAAGTTCATAAATGCATCTATCCAATGACTTTTACTCAAAAGCAGACTTTGGTGCATCCATATCTGCTTTCTATTTATGTATTAAACTTGGATAAATGCAGCAAGCTTCTTCAAACGAACCATAACCCAAAATACTGGTACTGTTGTTGATAATAGATTACAATTGAGCTCAAAACAATCTGCAAACTGGATGCCTTAATTTTACTGAGGCAAACATTGCTCTACAAATTTGTAACACATACCTTTCCAACAAAAACAATCTGACAACTTTAATTGTTAAATAAAAATGTTACATGCTCAGTTTGTCATTGAGCAGATTTAAAAAAATTGTAAAGTTTTGTTACTTTGGATTTCAGCACATTAGAAAAAATTGGACACCTCTGGTTTAAATGAGGGATGCACAATAAATCTGTATTGACATGGTTATCTGATCATTTATTAACATATCAGATCAGTATCGGTTCGATAAGTAAAAATGTGTTGATATTAATAGCTGATGCTTCTTATTGCTGTTTTTATATGTGTTTGAAGAGCGGAGGTGGTTGGTCATGTGATCTTTGCTTAGTCATGTGACAGTTATGGTGATGCAGGGCAGGATTCAGTGCTTATTTGGTCATTTTTTCATGATGTTGAATGGGTAGAGCAATATATATCAGTTATTGACCATAATAGCAATATCAATATTGGATATTGATATTGCCCCAAATCTTTACATCAGTTCATTCTGAGTTTAGATCAGAGTATATTTATGTGTTACAACAATCCAGTCAAAGTCCAATCCAACACATGCTTCCTGTCGAAACTGGCTGAGCCTGAACTCTTTTACAAACGACAATGGGAGAACAATTTAATCTCTACTTGTCTAAAGCAGGTAGAGACAGATACCAAAAGACTTACAAATGAAGCTATAGTGAAAAATGGCTCTGCAAAGCCTTGGTTCTCTCAGAGAATTGAGAATAGAAATCCACGCTACACAAAACTTGCCTCCCATTTCATTATATGTTGGCCTTGCAAATGAAATTATAGGAAAATACATTGAATGTTTGTAGTTGCAACATGAATTGTAGAAAACAAAGGGTAGGGTGTGAATACTTTCGCAATGCCCTGAATGTATATACACATATATGACAAATGTCCGGCTCCCTGCCTAAATGAAACCAACATTCAGCCCAGTGTTTCTGCAGTCTTGCCCAGTTTGCCACAGTTTACACAGGTATCATTACAAAGACACAGTGGATGTCTCAAGAGGATCCCCAAAAACCACTGAATGACTGATAACTGTACACATATGAGGATGAGAGAAGACATATGCATATGAATAGACTCTTCCTTATCCAATGACCATTTTAGAAAACATTCCTGGAGACTTCTCCATCGTTTCTGCACATGTTCACGCTGTAATTAGACGTTATTTCAGGAAACAGACTCAACTACCAGGGTAGGTTTTGAGTGCCAAAAGACACAGATGGGAATTGTTGCTTTTTTCTTCAAAAGTCAAAGAATTCTCTGACCCATAATCACAGCGCTTCATGCACTCTGGTACACAGTATATTTAGCTTGTCCTGTTGTCCTGGTTGCTGAAATCCTATGGCCAAACATAAACTCTGAACGTAGAAACGTCTCATTCAAAAGAAGACAAAAATGACACATTTGAGGAGTTCATCGAAGCACCACCATACTCAAACATGTCTCTAAAAGCTGATTGGAAAAACATCCATTGCATGGAGTTCACTACGTAATACACCAACGTAATCACAGGGCCTTACCTTCTCTCTTCCAGCTGCTGGAAGCCAGTGATGAATGCCACTGTGGAAGCAGAAGGTGAAAAGAGAGGAGTCCTTACTCGCCAGTGGCAGCCCTCCCTCTGGTTGGCAGAGGGAGCGGTGGGAGTGTCAGGGCCGCCTTTGTAAACTGTGGCCGACTCCACAGCACAAAGTGACACAGCATAGACCAGTGTGGATCCAATGTGGAAACCTGCGCACACTCACAAGGGACATGTGGAGAAACCACAGTGTGAAAATGACAGAATCAGAGTACTTCTCAATGTGGAGTGTGGAGGAGAGATGGAAGAGGTTGTTAAGATTTTTCAGTCATCAGCTGGATAAGAAATGAGCAGCAGATAGTCAACCTGGGCTTTTCTGTAGAGATAACAGGATCATGTGTGAGGAGTTAACTGATTTAGCAGGAGTTGTGTGATGGCATGTGTCAGTCGTGTGATTTAACAGAGTCTTTTCTCTGCAGCTGCTCAGGGGTTGAAGTAAATTACAGGGTTCATAAACTCTATGGCAAGAGATGAAAAAGAATCAGTACTAAATGCTGGATCATAGTGAATGTCACACTTACTGATTACAAAGAAGCAACCTGTTGCAGAAATTTCAAAAAGTGTACACTTTTGCTACCTGAATGTTACAAGAGTTGATCCTGCAGTAGATCCCTTCTGTTGAGGCAAAGGAGAGTCTAACTGCTGTCTGTTGAGTCTGTTGCTTGTTGCTGTGATTGTCTGTAGCAACAATAAGTAATACCTGCTTTCTTCCCACGCTTTTAGGCCTCTTTTCCAAGGTCAACTTTTATGGTCCAGGGCTCTGCGTGACTGCTGACCATTGGATTCAGAACAAACAGTCTCTGGATTTTTCCCCAGGTCTTGGAATACCGTAACAGGTCTTTACCCTTGTGAAATTGTTGAGGGAGTTATGGAAGTCTGATTGTCAGCTCCATATATTTTATGGATGTGGAAAAGGCTCACAATTGTGTTCTTGGTGGCATTGTGTTGAGTGCCAGTGTTGTTTTTACAAGGCCATCTGGTATCACCAAACCCAGAGTTCTGGCTTCAGTGTGTCGAACTCAATTATTTTGGACTATGCACTGGGGAAATGTCTTGTACCCATCCCGTTTATGGTGTTCATGGACGGAATTTCAAGGACATTTCCAGAACTTCTGGGATAAAAATCCAACAGCAACTCCAGAAACCATTGGAAGAGCCATTCCCATGTGTATTGGCCTGGGAACACTTTGGAATCCCTCTTGAGGAGTTGCAGTGTCAATGGGGAATGACTGGTACTCCCTCCTGGATGTGTTATATCTGCAGATAGGCCTCACATCAGTGAAAATTTAATGGTGACAAGAAGATACCCAGGGTTTCATGCAACCCTAATATACTGATGTATGAAGTGAAGATACTTAAGTATGTACTTTCAATGGAACATATCTTTTATAAACAGCACAATTCTTATCATGCAGAAACCTCCTAATTCTAAAACTTCACGTCATAAAGTTATGAATCAGTCTCATTCTGTTAAGACGATTTATATATATATATATATATATATATATATATATATATAT